CAAACTTTGGCCAAAAATTTCTAATTTTGTAATATTAGCCAATCATATTACTAGTTTTATTATATAAACTTTTGGCTATTTCAGCTAAAAAAAAAATAGCCATTGGCCGTGGCCACTGGCCAGCCAAATACCTATGTGACAACACTGCTAAAAGAGTAGTACTTTTTTTTACTTCGGTCCTACTAATAAGAGATCAAAAGAGAGTCAATATAAAATAAGAACTTGAAGATCAAACCCGATCAAGGTATGGAACGATTTTGTCCAAGGATTAGGATCTGGAGTCTTGTCTGGCAATCACAGGTCTTAAATAAATAGCTATTATTCATTCCTCTTTGGCAGAGCTAGTATTCTTTTAGGTTGTGTATAACAGAATCACTATTTGGGGTAAGTCTCTTATGTAATAATCACGTATGTACGTACGTATAAGGAATTGGATTGCTTATCTAACTTACTTTCTTTACCGAATTTGATACATCGATTCAAATTTTAAAAACTTAATAGAGATACTTATATACATTTCAGAAGCTGTTATAACCTTTCTACACTCCAAGCTGCAAATGACAAGGTTATTATATTATTAATTTTTAAAACGCATAACTCTTCTTTATTGTTGGCAACCAAAATTCTAACTGCTATGATTTATAAATGAGTAAAATTTGAATGAAATCATGATGTTTAACTAATTTTGTAAGTTCAAATTTGACTAAAAAATTAGATATTACTGAAACTTCAAAATTCTCTAAAGAAACTGCTCACTATGGATATATCTACATAGTTATAGTACCGATATGATATCACTTTAATCAATAATATTGAAAAAAGATAAGATTGAAGCTTGCTTCTTATTTTGTTCTTTTTCGTAACGCCATTCTTTAAGCTTTTTTTGTAACATCATTAATCCACTTTCATTAAAACCCTTTCCAACATCGAGGCTTTCCTGATATCTTATTACTTTTTCCAATGCATCAACAGCTTCGGTATTGGTTATTGGAGGCGGTGGTGGTAATTCTTCTTTTTCGTCATCAGTTTCATCATCATCACGGAATTCGTAATTCACCATTTCAATGATACCTTCATCCATTAATATATCCTCAGTTTCAACTAGCTGGTTAATTAGATCAGCATATTCCTTAATATTGTTTATTAATTCTTGGGCTTCTGGTGTATTTTCAATTGGCAAATCATTAATTAGCATAACAACATCATTATCCTCAGAAGCCTCATCTTGAAGTTCATTTTCTGGTCCACTTTCTCTCATCTCACTTTCTTCTAATCTACTTTCTTCTAGCAAACTTTCTTCTAGCCTATCTTCTTCTGATTCATTTATTTCTGCCATAATTCGAGTGGTCTTCTAGCAATTTCTTATGGTAGTATCACTAACGTCTTCCCAAGCATCTGAAACGAAATTAATGGCTTCTCGCAGTGTAAGTTTTTTGAATTTTTTTTAAAATGATTAATAAAAATGGTAAATAACACAAAAAGAAAAAAAAATTTAATTTCATCCTTGTTTCTCATTTTTTTCAAATTGAGAAATCAAATAATGGCAGTAAAGGTTCTTATATTTCGATTTGAAGCACTTTATAACTCTGTGTCCATGGGTTGAAGATAGGCAGTCATATTGGGTAGAAGAAAATGAATAGTGATGTTTGTAAGAAAGGAATAGTCTAAAGCTTGTTTAGTTTTTTTTTGCGCTCTTCCTTGCACTCTTCCTTGCCCTCTTCCTCGTTCTTGTGGCCTTCCACGTTGCCTTCTACGTGCTTTTCCATGTGCTTTTCCTCGTGGCCTTCCCTATGGTTTTACTTGTTGCCTTCCTTGTGGTCTTCCTCGTGGTTTTCTTTGTGGCCTTTCTTGTAGCCTTTCTTGAATTTCTTCAAATTCAGGTTCATCGGGTTTATCGGAATTATCAGGTTTATCAGGTTCATCGGGTTTATCAAGTTTATCGAGTTCATTATGTGTTTTGGATTCATTGAGTTCATTATGTATTTCGGATTCATTGAGTTTAATATCTTTCTCAGATTCCACAATATCTTCTTGGGCTTCGTTTTCATTATTTTCTCCTGGAATCATGTGAGAAGATGCATTATCAATGAGAAGCAAGACCTTTCTGTTTTGAATTCGAAAACCTTTATCAATGAATTTTAGCCACATTTTCCAGATATCACCTCTCATCCATGCTTTTTTGTTATTATGATAGTCAACCGGTAATTGTGATAGATTTATTCCATTAAACAATCGTAGTTTTTTAGAAGAGCCAATAACTATTGGGCGAAGCTTGTAGGAACTAGTTGCATTGGCACAAAGTAGTATAGTCACTCTTGATTTGTTCTAAAAGAAAAAAAAATCAAAAAAAAATAAACTCCTGAAAAAAATTAATTTTATTTACTTTTTTTTTTTCCGGCTATTGGCTTTCTAGAAAGTGTTTGATTTAGAAGTAATCTGTAAAAGAGGCCCATTTCGTCGGCATTATATATATCTTCTGAATTATAATGTGAAAGAAATTCTTGCAATTTGTTACGTTCTGTAGACAGGTTTTCTAAAGGTGTGCTTGCTACTTCACCATGCAATATAATTTTTTTTAGTCCATTATGCCTCTTAAATTTGGTAACTCATCCACTTGAAAATGTAAGAGATATTTCGGATATATTAAACTCCTTTGCAAACTGATGACCTTTTTCCTTAATTATAGAGTCTGAAATAATTATCCTGTGGGTTGTAACCTGTTCAATCCACATATTCATGGCTAGTTCTAATTTCGGATACTTTACTGAATGATGACGAAAAGTTCTTTCAGCTTGCACAGTGTCTTGGAGTTGATTATATTCATCAGCTTTTTTTAGTATTTTTGATATAGTTGAGCAATCAATTTGTAAATTTGGATAACGCTTTATAAACTCTTTCGCTATTTCCTGGTGCCTATAAGATGGGTTATTCTTTGCAAATTCGCATATTTCTTTTTTTTGTGTGTGTCACTAATACGACTACGTGTTTTTTTAGACACGGATTAAGGAGACATAATTCTATAGAATAAAATGATAAGTTTTTTTTTTTCACGTTTAATAAACTTTTTAAATTTTTTTTTCTTTTTACACTGATAAAAAAAATGTTTGAATCATTAACTTTTTATATTAATTAGAAGTTTTGACAACCCTTATGCAAGCACATGATGAAGTATTCATATCTTCTTAAATTTGTAATCTGGATATTTTACATGTATTAAGATTATTCATTATATTGCGTCTTGCATACTAAAAATCTGAATTAAGCTATCAAGCTATATTTGGCTATAGCCACTTCATCACAATAGCAGAATACATGGAATAGCATTCAATATCGTGTAAGTATATATATTTTTAGATATCAGATACTGAATATTTTTAAGAGTAGGGTGTACATAGATCAATTTTCATATGATCTACGTGGTATATTGAATTTTTACATAGTAAACAAAAAAGTGCTTCTAATAAAACTTTTTAAT